AGTTAGGGTTAGGGTTAGGGTTAGGGTTAGATTCAAGGTCTGAATCATACAATTAAGCTTAGAGTCTTAGGCTTAGTTTTGAGCTTTGGTTTAGTGTTAGAGATAGGGTTAGGGTTAGAGCTCATTTAGAATTAGGGTTAGTGTTAATTTTAGGGTTAGGGTTAGGCAATTTTGGGTTAGGATTTGGCTTGGGGTTAGGGTTAGGGTTATAATTATATTTAGGGTTAGTGTAAGGTTAGAGTTATGGACAGGTTTAGAGTTAGGGTTAGGGTCAGAGTTAGGGTTAGGGTCAGGGTTAGGGTTAGGGTTAGAGTGCAATTAGGGTTAGAGAGCAATCAGGGTTAGGGTTAAGGTTAGGGTTAGGGTTAGGGTTAGGCCATTTAGGGTTAGGATTTGGCTTAGGGTTAGGGTTAGAGTTATGTTTATATTTAGGGTTAGTGTAAGGTTAGAGTTATGGACAGCTTTAGAGTTAGGGTTAGGATTAAGGTTAGTGTTTTTGTTAGCCATAGATTTGAAATGTTCGGTTAGGGTCAGAGTTTTAGAGTCCGAATTGGAGACATTTAGTGTTAAAGTTAGAATCCAAGTCATTTGGTGTTACTGTTGAGGTTAAGATTATAATTATGATTGTATTTAAGCTTACAGTCAGTAAGCTTAAATTTGAGTCAGAGGGTTAGAGTTGGAGTTGAAGGCATTTAAGTTCTAGTTTACAGTTAGTGATAACATTAGAGTTGCAACATTAGAGCTATAGTCAGATGGTTAGGGTTAGGATTAGGGTTAGGTTTAGGGATAGGGTTAGGGCTATGGTTAGAATGGTCAAGGTTGGGGTTAGTGACAGGATGTTACAGTTAGAGTCACATTTAGGGTTAGGGTTAGAGAGCATTTAGGGTTAGGGTTAGAGAATCCGATTAAGGTTAGGTTAGGGTTTGGGTTAGGGTTTAGGGTTGGGGTAGGGTTAGAGCTATGGTTAGAATGGTTAGGGTTATTGTTAGGGTTAGGTTTAGTGTCAGAATAGTATGGTTGGAGTCTGAATCTGAGGTATTCAGTGTTAGGGTTAAGGTTAGGGTTAGGGTTAGATTAGAGTGCATTTAGCATTAGGGTTTTGTTACAGTCCCTTTAGGGTTAAGTTAAGGGTTAGGGTTAGAGCTAATTTTAGGGTTAGGATTAGAATGGGAATTAGGGTTAGATTCACATGCATTCCAAGTTAAGGTTTTGGTTACAGCCCTTTTAAGGTTAGCTTTAGGGTTAGAGTTAACGTTTTTGTTTGATTTAAGGTTACATTCAGAGTGTTTGGTTAGAGTTTGAAAGTTAGAGTTCGAGTATGAGGTTTTTATTCCCATGGTTAGCACGGAAGACATTCTGGGTTATGGGTTAAGTTTATTGTTTGGGTTTAGATTTAGGCTTTGGTTAGGGTAATTGTTAGTATTAGGTTTAGAGTTCACCTTATAGTTAAGAGTTGGAGGCATTCATGGTTATGGTTATAGTTTTGGTTAGTGTTGGGGTTAGAGTCAAAGTCTGACCCATTTTGTGTTAAGGTTAGGGTTAGGGTTAGGGTTAATGTCTGAGTGTTGTGGTTATTGGTGGAATCTGAGGTTAAATGTAGTGTTAGGGTGTTGACATTTAGGGTTAGGTTTAGGGTTCAGATTAGAATCATGGTTAGGGTTAGGGTTAGTGTCAGAGGGTCAGGGTTTGGGTTAGGGTTAGGATTAGGCTTAGTTTTAGTGTCAGAGGGTTATGGTTCCAGTTGTTATATGAGGTTAGCGTTAGTGTTAGGTTTACAGTTAGTGTTAGGGATAGGGTTAAGGTTAGGGTTAGGGTTAGGGTCTGAGTCTGAGTGTTAGAGTCTGAATTGAACTCATTTAGGATTAGGTTTCGAGTTGGCGGCATTTAGGGTTGAAATTAGAGTTAGGATTAGACAGGGAGGTATTTAGTTTTGCCCCCTCCTACTCATCTAATCCAGTTTCCAAAGAATCCTTCAAATACTTGAAAATAACTGTCTCATCCCCTTAGTATCTTCTCTTTTCCTAAGTAAACATCCCCAACTCCTCCCACCTGTACCCTTATGTTTTTGAATATGTCTTCTGTACTCATTTTAGTTTGTCTATGCTTTTTCTAAAATGTGATGTGGCATACTAAATATACTCCAGATGTGGCCTGACCAATCCTGGGTCTTGGAACACAACATGGAATAGTCTAAGAGAGGAGAGTGTAAGCGACTTAAGGAATGAATGGCTGAGACTTCATTCTAGTCTTTTACAGGGGCAATGTCACTAAAAAAATGGAAAAAATCAAAGAATTTGTGCACTTTTTTCCTTGAAAACTGTTGTCCCAGACAGTTGTGCTATTTAGAAGGGAAGTACAATAGAATATAACAAGATTTTTTGAGTTTTCTGTTTAGGAGAAAAAATTTTTAAGCTCTATTGGGACCAAAAGAACAAAGATGGGATAGGACTTAGTTTGAATGGTCTGATAGTAGAAAATGATAAAAAATTGAATTATTCAACTCTTCCATTGCCTGTTGAAGTAGCATTGACTTCAATGTGATTTGAAGTGTTAAGGTGTCCTCAACCAGATAAGCCTTCAATTCAGGACAATCTCTAAACCAGCATGGTTGTTGTGGAAAGAGGATTGAATTTGGAATTATAGGATGTAGGTTAAAATCTGAAATGTGCTATTTCCTTCCTATATGACCTTGGAAAAATTTCTTTTTTTTTTTTTTAAGGCAATTGGGGTTAAGTGACTTGCCCAGGGTCACACAGCTAGTAAGTGTGAAGTATTTGGTCTGAGGTAAGATTTGAACTCAGGTCCTTCTGACTTCAAGGCCAGTGCTCTATCCACTGCACCACCTAGCTCTTCCCCCCCCCAAAAATCTCTTAACGTTGTTGGTCTTCAGTTTTCTAATCTGTTAAATAAAGGAGATTGTTTCTAAGATCTTTTCCCTGTGTTAACTTTATGCTTTCCACAAAATTTGGAGTTTAATGGTTTCCTAGTTGGAGTTGTGAAAGGAATTATGATTTTCATATTAATCAATATGATAAGTGTAATGGGTATACTAATAATTTAGCTTTTTCAGAGCTATCATTTCACCAGCAGATTCTGCAATGCAGCTTAGAGTTATCAGTCACTCTAACATTCCTGTGCTTGCACTATGCCTGTGAATATTAAGTGAGACAAATCAAAGATTGTAGAATCTGTTCCCAGTCACAGAACTCTGGTCCTGTGCTCCCCCAAGTAATGACTCCCAAGACTTGAGGACTTGAGAGCTATTCCCAAAAGACTCAAGAACACAGGTATTGTCTTGCATCTGCAGGCTTATTGTGGGAAACCCTCAGGCCCTGGAAATGATGTGTTGTAATCCACCTTCCTCCTCTTTCCTACTTGTGATTTTATGTTTATTGTCAAAATATTTTGGAGATACCTGTTTTCCAGAGGTAAGGCCTAACAAGCAGGCTTTGTGCTCAGGATGATATCACCCTCTGGCAAAGTGCATTGCTTGGACCAGCACCAGTTCATTGAGGGATTTAGCTTCCTCTGTTTCCCAAGGCCATCCATCACATATTCATAATCACTGACTGGTACTGTACTCTTGTTCCTGTCACAGAGTTTCTGTACCTGACAGGGTGGTCGTGACCCCCAAAACAATGACTGTTCCCACAGAATCCAAGAATTTCTGTATTGTCCCAAGAAATGCCAACCATGAGAACTATCTCAAGATCTAAGAATGATTGTGTTGTGGGCCAACCCTTTCCATCTCCTTCTTGGGGGGGGGGGCTTCCATATGAGTACATCATTTTACTCACTCTGAAATTAATTCAACTTCTCTTTGTGTCCTTATCCTCCTATCTCTGACCTGTTCTATTTGTTTGGTTCTGCCCATCCACAAGTTAGAGGCCAGTTCTGATCCAGTTGACAATATATATTGTGCCTTCATTCCAGCATATAGAGTTCTCCTCCTCAGGATAACCTCAGATTTGCAAACCACATCCCCCATTCTGAAATTACGTAAACTGCTAATTGATTCCTGATACCGAAATCTATAGCCTGTTCTGTTTTAGTCTCCAGCTATTCACAGGTTAGATACTGGTCCTGTCTACTACAGTAAAATTCTGTTAAGAGGGTGATGAGACGAGAAAGAGGGAAAATCTTATCAAATATGCCTAGCTTCTTTGCTTCTGAAAAAAAAAGTTACTAGAGATTCACACCTTCATATTTCAGGCAATTCAGAACCAACGTTATACTGAAATAGTGGTCCTCCCCATTTTAGTAATTAAGCTGTTTCCTTTTGTTGTTATTGAGTTGTGTTTGACTCTGTGACCTCATTTGGGGTTTTCTTACCAAAGAAATTGAAGTGGTTTGCCATTTCCTCCTCCAACTCATTTTTTCAGATAAAGAAACTGAGGCAAACAGGGTTAAGTGACTTGCCCAGCATCACACAGCTAGTAAATGTCTGAGGCCTGAATCTGAACTCAGGTCTTTCTGACTCCAGGCACTGGGCTCTATCCACTGTGCCCTATACCTGCCCCTTTTACAGTGAGACACAGTCTTCTACTCTGATTCCAAATTACATTTATTGGACTCTGATTTACTCTTTATTCTTGGGTCCCTTGCTTGGTTATCTACAAAGCCTAGGGAGGTTACAAGACTTGTCTGAGTCAGAGCTGGGATGGATGTCACTAAAATGGAGGTGGCAACACACCCCTCCACAAATCAGCCTTCAGATTTCTTCAGTCCTCTGAAGCCCTCAATTTTTTGTGGGGAAGAAAAGGAAAGGAAAGGGTAACACTGAGGAGGGTTGGAGGTTGGAAGGCCAGCAGAGGAGGGTTGAGGGCTGGGACCTTATTTTTATGTGATTCAAGCTGGAAGCACAAACCTGTTCCTGGAGTGATAATGGGAGGAAGGGAGGCTGTTCTGTGAATAACACAGAGAGATGAAAGGTCTATAAAGCTGGAGATTTCCTCTGTGTTAGTTTCAGTTTTGGTCTCCTCAATTATGCATGTTCATTCTTCGATTTCACCAATGACTATTGGAAGGCAGAGTCTCTGAAGGCAATAAGGATTCCTCCTTCTATAAATCCAGTGTAAACTGACTTCAACGATCTTGTGCTTCCATCTACCTATTAACCATGAAGAATTATATTCGCTTTCTCTTTTGGTTGGGGACCCTAGCCCTGACAGAGACCTGGGTAGGTAAGTAGGGAACAGTACTAAACTGCCACCTGGAGACTGGATAAAGCACTCAGGTGTAGATGTATGAGTGGGGAGGGGTTTTGCTAAAGAAAGCTCTTCCAACACCAGCCCAGAGTGGGTTTCCAGGGAACCAGCTCCTTAAATCTTAGGTGAAGTCAAGGTGGTGCTTGAAGGGAAGAAGTGATGAATAAGCCTAGGTGTGAGTTGGGAGACCAGTGGCCTGCCATCCTTTAGCTGGGCTTTGGTAGCAGAGTGGGGGTCCTGGTGTAGGTTTCTTAGTTTGGGGAGTGGTGGTGAGTGGATTGTTAAGTGGGTGTGAGGACATAGGGTGTTGAGGTAAAGGTAATAGGAGAGAGAAAGGGTTCGACAGTCCTGTGGGAGTTAAGAAGGAGCAGAGCTGTGTGGGAGCCCCGGGCATCCAAGGGCGAGGACAGAGAACCAGGTGCAGCTTTGTTAAAGAGTTTCGTAGAGGATCGGGGGGTGGGGGGGTGGGATGAGTAGGGCCAGGCAAGGACACAAGTTGGGGGTGCTGAGGGTGAGGAGTGTGAGAGCTCCAGGACCCGGACCAGAAGTGGTGGTGGGGGCTGGGAGGGGTAGGGAGAGGAGGGGGAGACAGAGGAGCAACGTCTAAAAAAACGGGCACTAGGACCTGCCTGGGTTGTTGTCAGTGAGGCATTTTGTTGATCTGAAAGTGCCAGGGTCTAGAGAATCTGCCACCTGGGGCGGTGCACCTGCAGCGAAGTTGGGGGGGAGGCCGTGAGGCAGGGAGTGGAGAGGCATGTCTAGGCTGCTGGGTTCGGAGTCCGTGGTCACAACCCGGGCGGGACGGGGTCAAGGGTCACACCCCAGGCTTGGCCGCAGACGCTGGGCCGCCAGGGTCGGAGCTGAATGGTCACTGCCCTGAGTCTGGGCCCGGGTCCCCACGTCTCAGGCTCTCTCTCCCTGAGGAATTTCTACACCGCCGTGTCCCAGCCGGAGCTCGGGGAGCCGCGGTTCATCGCCGTGGGCTACATGGACGATCAGCAATTTGTGCGCTTCGACAGCGACAGCGCGAGTCTGAGGATGGAGTCGCGGGCGCCGTGGATGGACAAGATGGACCAGGTGGATCCGGACTATTGGGAATGGGAGACGCGGAACATGAGGGAGCACGCACAGGATGCCCGAGTGAGCCTGCAGAACCAGCGCCGCTACTACAGCCAGAGCGAGGGCGGTGCGTGAGGTGGTGACCCGGGGTCACAAATCACCTTCACGGACCAGAGTGGGGAAGAGACTAGTCACCTTCGGGTCTCACTGGGGACACGGGGCGGGGGGAAGCCTCCCTAGGCTGAAGGAGCTACTTCTGATTCCATCCCGGGTCGCGGGCGGGTCATGGAATCAGCGCCTGGTGGGGAAAGTCTGACGGTGCTGACCCCAGGGCTGGGGGCGGGGCAGGGGTTCACACAGTCCAGTTCATGTACGGCTGCGAGGTTTCCCCCGACCTCACCTTCAAGCGCAGGTTTGAACAAAATGCCTATGACGGGCACGACTACATCGCCCTGGACACAGAGACTTACACGTGGACTGCAGCGGTGCCCGAGGCTGTGAATACCAAGCGCAAGTGGGAGGCCAAGAAGAGCATCATGGAAGGAGAGAAAGTCTATCTGGAGGAGGAGTGTGTGCAATGGGTGCACAAGTACCTGGAGAACGGGAAGGAGGATCTGAAGAGGACAGGTATCACGGGTCCCTGACCGAATGTGTGTGGCACTCAAGGCCCCTGGCCGGCCCTTCTCCACTTCCCCTACCGCCTCAGTCCCCGATCCCTGACCTCAGGGGCCCCATGACCCTCAGGAGCCGAATATAGTTTGTTCACCATCACCCGAGAGCCTGGAAATGCCTCTGACTTTTGCCTCCAGATCCCCCTTCTGCTCGAGTGACCCCTCACACTGCCCCCGATGGGGAGGTGACCCTGCGGTGCCGGGTCCAGGACTTTTACCCTGCGGAGATCTCTCTGACTTGGCTGAGGGATGGGGAGGAACAGCTCCAGAACATGGAGTTCATTGAGACCAGGCCAGCAGGAGATGGGACCTTCCAGAAGTGGGCCGCTTTGGGGATCACCTCGGGCCAGGAAGGGAAATATACCTGCCGAGTTCAGCACGAGGGACCTCCTGAGCCCCTCACTGTAAAATGGGGTAAGGACCATGAGGAGGGGCTGGGGAAAAGGCCATCCTCCGCCTCCCAAGAAGATCGAAGGGATGTGGAGTTACTGGGAGGGAGTTGGAGAAGAGGTTAGTGAATCTCAGGCCAGAGAGGAATCAGGGCCTTTCATTTCCCTTTTCCATTTTTAGAGCCACAGTCCTCATCCACCTGGATCATTGTGGGGAGCATTGCTGTTGTCCTCAGTGCAGTCATTGCTGGAGTTGTGATCTGCCAGAACAGGAATTCAGGTAGGCAAGACAGGAAGGGGGTCACATTAGGCAGCAGGCACAGTGGAGATCTAGCTTCCCCTGAACTGGAGGCTTGTCTTTCTGTCCCCAAGTTCTCTATTTCCCATCTAAGAGACTGTTAGGCTAGATGAACAAACCTGTAAATAGAAAACATTTTTCTTGAGGATGCCTTGCAGTGGCTTAACAGGCTGGCTAAGTAGGAGAAGCTGCTTCAGACCCAGATCTGAAATGAATACAGGGATTTCTGCAAAGGAACTGAGAGCTCCCCCACCCGGAGTCGTAGACCAGACTTGGAAACACATTGATGCAGGACCTGAGGTTGGAAAATGCCCATTTGTGGAGCCTCTTTTATCTTCCTGTTGGATCTAGATACTGAACTGGAGTAGGGGATAGAGGCAGAGTCACAATTGTAATTTGTTGTGTCTTTAAGACAGATTGGTGACCTTCTGGGGCCTTGGTATGATCTCCTCTCCTGGACTCCCAACTGGAATTTTTTTTCTTTTCCAGGTAGAAAAGGAGGGGACTATGTTCAGGCTGCAGGTGAGTGAAGGGTTGACATGGAGAATAGAAAGAGGGACCAGCCCATGGTATCTTTGGGACATGAGAAATGAGAAGGCAGAGGAGAGGCTTACCTCAGTATCCTTTCCTCAGTGTCCTCTTTCCTTCCCCTGCCCCTCTTCTGTAAAATATGTGCCAAACTGGGTTGTTTTCCTTCTTTGTCCCCAGACAGTGACAGTGCACAGGGCCTCTCTTGCAGCCAAAGGTGAGACTCTGGGGGCAGTGGAACTGGAGAGAGGCTGGTGTAAAGGGGGCCAAGCAAAGAGGATGGGTTATGTGAGTGGTTGGGGTGAGGATTGGGTGGGAAGTGAGGCAGGCTCTTTAGAATGATGAGGGACTTTGAGGATCTCCCTTAATCTGTCTTTCTTCAGTTTGAGATAATTGCCTTGTGTGAACCTGAGAAAGAAAACAAAGATATTCAAGTCTCCAGTTCCTGTCTTGTTCATGTTGACCTCTGGCTTCTCTTTCCAGCATTGGCTTCTATGATCATCATTGTACTCTACTGGCCAATGACCCATTTCCTGTCTTGCCTATCTGACTTCTTGTACCTCCAGATCACAACTCGTAGGGAAGCATCATTAGTGCCCTCACCCTGTTCTCTAAGGCCTCCCACCCCTGCCTTCTTCCTTTCTGCCTGTCTCACTTTGTAGAGAGACAACCAGCCATAAAAGCCAGAGGGCTTTGGAAATGAGCCCTCCTGAATGTATATGTATAACCTATATCAGATTTTGAGCCATCTTGGAGAGGAAGGTGGGAAGGGAGGGGGAGAAAAATTTAAAACTCAAAAGCTTATGGAAGTGATTGTTGATAAATCAAAATAAATTCATTAATAATAAAAAAAAGAAATAAGCGCTCCGTCACATTTGATGTTGCACTGAACTGTGATTTTTTTCCCCTACTGCAAAAACGTGTACAATAAATTATTTTTCTTGAATCTTCAACTTCTCTCCACCATCTCAATTGAACTTTACATGTGTGTGTGGGGGGGGGGGAGGGGCGGAGTTTGGGGGACAGGATGACAATGTGGAGATATCCTGACCATATGACCAGGAAAATAAGTTAAAGGTTGAAGACTTCTAAGAATTCTTTTATTTGCTCTGCTGAGTCTGTGATTGCAGGTGGGGCTGGGCCAAAGATGGGAAGGAACCAAGGGGAGGAACAGTGTATTGTACATAGTGAGTGTGCAGATGTTTGTCTTCCATTTGTACTGCTCAGGTGCACTTGTTGATGTGGTATATTCTGACTTGTTCCAGGGCTTCAGGCAGAGCCCAGGCTACATGCTCCTCCTGTAACTGGAGCTATGCACAAACAGGCTGAGAGCTGACTAGCCCATAGGCCTACCCTCAGCACCTACTTTCAAAGAGTTTCAATTCTCTCCATTTTATGGTCATTTTCTTCCACCCTTGTGTATGTGCCCTTGCTTTTCTTTCATTGCAGCAGCTTCCCTGAGGGCTTCTGTGGTCTCTGTTCAGAGTTCAGTACAGGGCCCTGGGACTCCATCCCTATTGGTGATGGTCGCTGTATTAGATAACTGCCTTGTCCCCTTTTTAGACTGTTCCAGGGATTTTCTTCCCCTGTGAAGAGGGGAAGGGTCTGATTTTGTAATTAACCAAGGAGGAAATATCTTGTTTCTAAATATAAAGAAGCCCCTTCTCCTTCTCTTACTCATTGAGGTCCCCATCCTATACATATTTAGAGTTAATTTGTCCCTCTCTATCTATAACTTCCCTGTTCCCCAACTCCTTTCCCCTTTTGAATGATCCACGCTGCTGGGAAAATGTGGCTTTCCTTCTTTCATTTTGCCCTAGTATTTCTTTCCAAATAAGAGGAATATTTCAATTATATTTCTCTCCTTTCCCCACAAAGGGCAATCTTAATCACTATCTCAGCTTAGCACTGAACAATTATTCTTTCTACTCATCCAAGGCCATCCAAGTGTTGTTCACTTGTTCCAGAATCCACTTGTGTGGGAGTTTACCATTACAATTATTAATTGATCCAAGGAAGGTAGTCACAAAGTGGTGAGAACAAGCAGAAGCTTAGGCCCTCCTATATTCTAGTTGATATATGCCAATTAATTAAGAGAAAACATTTGCTAAATGTATGTGGCGCCACATCCTAGGGTCGTGTTGGGGCATTTGTGGCTCATACCACACGTTGAGTACCCTGGACATAGTTTTTGCAACAGAAGATTAGAGGCCTCTCTCTGAACCTCCGTTCATTTCCCACACAGGCCAGGGATTTTGTGATAAGTAGGTAGATGACCTCCCCTGGGGTGTAAGCCATATTATATCATGGCCAGACATGATTTTTGGACCCTGAGGGTTAAGTGGGGAAAAGAGCGTAGAGGGAGTGGAACTATATTCCTCTCTGAGCCCAGAAGTTTCCTCTTCCCCAAGCCATCCAGTTGTGGAGGGTTGTACATGGAGGGCTTATCTTCTCTCTCCGCACAAGAACTCTTGTTCCCCAGTGGCTTACAAGTAGCAGGACAGAAATCTTTCCTTTATATCTCTGATGAATAATTAGTTCAGTGAAAAATGAAATATCTCTCGTAGAACTGGAGTTGCTTTTCTGACCTGATCCATAAACTCTGTGACCCCCAGAGCTTTCCATATGCCCCTTCTTAACAATTACAGATGTCCATAAGCAGCAAGGGGCTGCCTCAGGGAAGCTCTTCCTTGGAGGAACTGAGTGATCAACGCTTGTGGATTTTGTTAACAGTGTGGATTCCACGTAGGTATAGGTTTGACCAGAGGTGTCAAATACACAACCTGCCGACTGGCTGCAATGTTCTGGAGTGTTTTGAAACCAGATTATAGTGTAGTTAACAAAGAAGAGAAAATACAATAAAGCAGATAACATTTCATTTGACAACTAAGTCAATATGTGACCTGTAGGAATCCTTATGTTCAGATTAGTGGCTCCCATTGTGGGGTTAGCTGTTGTCCTTTGTTCTTGAAGATGACCAAAATGACATCACTATGCTAGAGTCAAGTTTCAGTGTGTCCGACTGTGACTGAAAAGACCAATATGAGCTCAGAATGCTCTACCACAGGTCACAAACAGTCTGTGTGAACATTTTGGCATACCGAATTTCCTTTGAGCTATTTCAATTCTTCTTTGCTCATGGAGTATAGGACCTTCTCCGATGTGGGCACACCATGCTGAGCGGTCCTGTGCCAGCATCTCCCATGTCACACAATTCCAAAGTTCTTAAGAAAGACCTTGAGAATGTCCTTGTATTGCTTCTTCTGACCACCATGTGAATGCTTGCCCTGTGTGAATTCTCCATACAAATCGTTTTGGCAAGCGTGCGTTGGTGCAGTCGATAGAATTCAGGGCCTGGAGTCAGGAAGACCCATCTTCCTGAGTTCAAATCTGGCCTCAAACAATTATTAGCTGTGTGACCCTGGGCAAGTCACTTAACCTTGTTTACCTCAGTTCCCTCATCTATAAAATGAGCTGAAGAAGGAAATGGCAAAACACTCCAGTATCTTTGCCAAGAAATCTCCAAATGAGGTCATGAAGTGTTGGACATGACAGAAAATGACTGAACAACAACAACAGAAATTTCTATTTGAGTTTGATATCATTGGATGAACTAGTTGCCCTCTGAGGGGCCTAATAACTTTCAAATTCTGTATTGTGATTTCCCCTAAACTCATGGTTGGTTAATATTAAGGGGTTCCATGGCTCTTTGCTACTACCCACTCAACACGTATAGGACCATATAAGGATGTCGAAGCTGTCCATAGTGAACAATTGTTGGGTCAGCATCCTTCTAGAGTCACATATATGTGTGCAGGATCGGGGTCTGGCAAACAAAGGCCTTCCAATCCCAAATATTAGCTTAACCTATGAGGCCCTTTGCTGTGCCTTCTACCTTTCCTAACAGTCTCGCCATAGCTCACAGGTTCAAAGCAAGAGAGCTTGCTTCTTAGCCTTAGTATCACTGATAATGCAACTATTATTTTCCTCATTTTAAACTATTTATTTAATATTTTATTTTTCTCCAATTACATGTAAAAACAATTTTCAACATTCATTTTTAAAATTGAGTTCCAAATTTTTTCCCTCCCTTCCCACCCTACTCATTGAGAAGGTAAGCAATTGGATATAGGTTATACATATGTAATCATGCAAACATATTTCCATATTAGTCATGTTATAAAAGAAAACATAGACCAAAACAAAAACCCAAGAAAAATAAAGAAAGTTAAAAAAAAAGGGTGCTTTGATCTGTATTCAGACTCCATCAGTTCTTTCTCCGGGGATGAATAGCATTTTTCAACTCCTTCAGAGTTGTCTTGAATCATTGTATTGCTGAGAATAACTAAGTCATTCACAGCTGATCATCTTACAATGTTGCTGTTACTGTGTACAATATTCTCCTGGTTCTAGTGATTTCACTTTGCATCGGTTCATGGAAGTCTTCCTAGGTTTTTCTGAGAGCATCTAGCTCATCACTTCTTTTTTTTTTTTTTTAAGCAATTGGGGTTAAAAGACTTGCCCAAGGTCACACAGCTAGTAAGTGTCAAATGTTTAGTCTGAGGCCAGATTTGAACTCAGGTCCTCCTGACTTCAGGGTCGGTGCTCTGTCCTCTGTGCCACCTAGCTGCCCCATAGCTCATCATTTCTTATATTACAATAATATTCCATCACAATCATATACCACAAATTGTTCAGCCATTCCACAATTGATGGGCATCCCTTCAATTTTCAATTCTTTGGCACCAGAAAATAGCTGCTACAAATATTGGAGCATAGTTCCAAATTGCTATACGTAATGGTTGAATCACTCCACCAACAGTGCAATAATATCTCAATTCTTCCAAATCCCCTCCAACATTTAACATTCTCCTTTTATGTCTTATTAGCTGATCTAATTGGTGTGAGGTAGTACCTCAGTATTGTTTTAGTTTGCATTTCTCCAGTCAATAATGATTTAGAGCATTTTTCTGCAAGGCTATAGATAGCTTTGATTGTTTCATCTGAAAATTGACTTCATATTTTTTGATCATTTGTCAATTGGAGAATGGCTCTTATTTTTATAAATTTGACTCATTTCTCTATATATTTGAGAGATGAGGCCTTTATCAGAGAAACTTGCTTCAAAATTTTTTTTCACAGTTATGATTGCTAACTTTATTTCCCTCCATCCTATTCCCCCCCCATTTATTCTATTCTCTTTTTCCTTTCACTCTGTCCGTCTTCAAAAGTGTTTTGCTTCTGACTATTGCCTCTCCCAATCCACCCTCTGTTCCATGAGCACCCCCTCTTTCCTTATCCCCCTCTCCTCCTCCTTTACTGTTGGATAAGATAGATTTCTATACCCAACTGAGTGTGTATGTTATTATGTCTTTGAGCCAATTCCAAGGAGACTAAGGTTCAAATGTTCTCCACCACCCCCTTCATTTTCCCCTCCACTGTAATAGCTCTTTCTTCCCTCTTTTATGTGAGATAATTTACCCCATTCTACCTCTCCTTTTATCTTTCTTTTAGTGATTTCTCTTTCTCACCCCTTAATTTTATTTTTTAAAGATATAATCCCTTTATATTCAACTCACATCTGTGCCCTCTATCTATATATCTTTCTAACTGCCCTAATAATGAGAGAATTCTTATGA